ACAAAACATAAAAGAAACACGTTCTAAACTGAATCTAAATGTAACAACAGATTTATTTAAAAAAACTGTTACTCAGAACTCCTTTCTTTTCTTTGGGCCGAAATTATTTAATGTGCTACCTAAACATATAAAAGAAATAAAAATATATAAAACATACAAAATAGAAGTAAAAAAGTATATACTCAATCATCCTTATATATTTCTGATGTTCTCATGATAATAACAGCTGTTAAAATTTATTTAAGATAATTTAACCATAAATTAATAACTGATTCTCACCCCCCCCCCCCCCCCCCCACCGAAGCTGCCATCATTACCTCTCTGAAAAAATCACAATTCAAAATGTCTTTATACATGAAAAATAGATATAAAACACTACATAATACCCTTAAATACTGTAAACAGAGCACCTCATAAAATTGCTTCACACTGGACAGGCAACCATGCCTAGAGTGGTAGCCATTTTATGAGACGCTAACTAATTGTAAAGTAATTGTATATAAATAAATGTATATTAAAAAATGTTAATAAAATGAATGAAATTGAATCTGATCGGCCTAATAAAAGTTTTCGTTTAGATTTAATTATGTTCCTATGGTTTTTATTGTAATAAACCTTTTGTTTTTTTAGTTACTACACCCCTGCTACCATATATTAGTTTTAGATTTGCAAAAGCTTTTTGAAGCATTTGCAAAACGTAGATCGGAGTCAACTATCAAGCCTAGGTTTTTGACAGATATTGCGATATTTAGCTCGTCTCTTCCTACATTTGGTTTTAATTTTCCGATACATCTATTTCTGCGCTTTTTCCAAAAAGTATGGCTATTGATTTAGTGCTATTAATTGAAAGACAAAATTTATTTGATATATTAATAAGAGACTCAATATCTTGATTGATCTGATGGCAAGCAATATCGATGTTTTTCTTAGAAAATGTATGATATAATTGTGTATCGTCAGCATAAAAATGAGACGAACAAAAATGTAGTTCTTTATAAAAATCTAAAGTATAAATTATAAATAAAATAGGACTTAAAATGGATCCTTACTAGGAATGACGACGGGTACCCGTTACGCCCACGGGTTCGGGTTATACGTTACCAATTAGAACCCGTTACGAACCGTTAGCCCGTTAAGGCCCTTTAATAATTATTTAAGAATTTAAGACCTGTTAAACTCCTCTATCTTTCTTTATCTATAGAGCTTCAGACCTGCTTCATTTGTTTTGTAATAATTTCCTCAATCATTGAAAATAAATATTTAATTTTCATGAAGACACAAACGTAAATATAATATTCTACATCTATGCATCGTTTGAAATAGACGTCCATGCATCCGTAGTAATAGCAACATATCAGACAGATTCAATTTCTTTCCTGATTTCATTTTGTACATTATTAAATTTTGATTCAGTAATATTCCTAATGGTTTCTGCACAAGGGCATTTATAGTTTGGTTCCACAAATTTCATGAACTCACGAAACGATTCTCACTCAGAGAAATGAATGGGTAAATTGTTTTCAATGATTACTGCTACCAACTTGTCTGTTATCTGACCTTTTCGAGTGTTGTTACACGGCCGTCCAGTAGTTATCCTCATATCAGTGAGTTTTTGCCTTTTAGGTGTAGAATGAGATGAGCCCGAAGGCCCTGCGTTCTCGATATCAACATCCTGCAGTTGAAGATTATTGTGCTGCGATCGTAAATGTTTCATCATTGAGCTCGTCGATCCGTTATAATGCAAAGTACCGTCGCAATACTTGCACTGCCCTTTAATTTCACTTTCGTGTTCGCCGACGAATGTATTTTTTGAGAAGTGATCCCACACCAAAGACCTTTTAGCCCGCACCATAATAAATTCCGCAAATTAATATAACCGGCACAAATAATGCGACAAAACTGCCGAATAAGTAGCGAATGCGCCGGGCGTGCAACGTAAATCGTAAAAACATCCCTCCCTTCACATTCCATCTCAGTTTTTTGCGCTAAGTTAGACACTTTTCTATTGCATGCTGGGCGAATGCGTATTTGATGGGAGGACCAATAATTTCACTTTCAGACATCACCAGACAAATTCGTGGTGGTTTTTACGACGGAGTTTAACGGGACTCAACGGATGTTAACGGGTCTCAACGAGCATTTGTAGCGTTAACGGGTAACGGGTAATACCCGGGCATTGAAGTCGGGTACCCGGGTACAAAAATTAACTAGTATCGGGATTCCTAATCCTTAAGGCACTCCATTTTTTTACTTGTGAAAATACAGAAGAAGACGAATTATAAATTACAGCTTGTTGACGATTACTCAAATAATTACGAAATAAATTGACACTATTATTATTACAACCTATATAATGCAAAATTGATAAGAGCAATTGGTGATTTATTCGATCTAAAGATTTCGAATAATCAAACAAAATTAACGCGACCATTTTATTTTCATCCAGAGCATTATGAATATCATCAGTAACTTTTAACAAAGCTGTAGTACAACTGTGCACATATCTGTAACCGAACTGATGAAGAGGTAAAATATTATTGGTGTTCAAAAAAGATTAGTTGTTTATTAATTATTTTTTCAAAAGCTTTAGAAATTGCGCATAAAATACTAATTGGTCTCAGATCTTTAGGACTATTGGGATTTGACATTTTTGCAAATGGGATTACAAGAGCACGTTTCCACATAGCAGGGTAAACATTCTTAATTATGCAATAATTAAAAATATGTGACACGTAAGGTAATATGATTGGACAACAATGCAGCAACCTTTCTATGCTAATATAGACCCTGTAATAATAAACCTCAGAAAATACAGTGATAATGATACCAGTAGTTATAGTGACTTTTAAATATAGTTCGAACTTTTTATTTTTTTTAATCTTTGATTTTAGATACTGAATGAAGTGATACTTTCAATGTCAAGAGATTAAAAAAAAGTTTTATCCCACAAACAACATATAATCAATCCTCCTTATTATTTATTGGTTAAATTTAATTCGTTCAATGTTAAAGTGCAACAATTTTTTCAGAAGCATAAGGTTTATTTTTATTTTTTTGTAAATAATATAACTTTTTTTCATTCAAAATTTAATTTACAAAGTGCGTATATTTTGCGAAGTACGCCTATGGAATATGAGGTTATATCCCCACTTTTACTGCACTTCTCTTTTATTCAGACTATAGCTCGCACAATAACACTAGAACATCAGATTGAATTAATAATTTTTTTCTATAATTACACTAATTATTTTTACTTATTGGTAAACTTTTATGATACTAAAGTCCATCTAATCAAAGATTTTGCCAAATAACAATATTAAAACTTTAAGGAGCCGGCGCACGATTTGTCTGTCATCAATAAATAAAATATACGGTGTGTGTCATATAGTTAGATCCATATGGGATTCTTTTTTTTTAATATTTCTATTGGAAAAAAACATCTCTACTTAAAGACTTAAAATAAGTAGCCCATATCAAAGTTGGCTACTGATATTAGTTATCTTTCTTTTTGAAAAATCATTCGAAAATGTTAATTTTTTAACCAAATAAATGTTTCGTGAAAGGAAATCAAGTGTTAACTTAATTAAATTTTGTCTACATTTTTTTTATAATAATGTCATGAAATTCATAAAGCCGACCCTGTGTCTAAAGCAAGCGCGACTTTCAGCTGGAATCTGACCACATACTTTGATTACTATACGGGACAAGAGAGAGGTCCGACACGCCCAACATAGGGCGCGGCCATTTTGAACCCTATGACACAGTTTATAGCTAAAGAATCAGATCGCTCACTCTGCGTCGGCACTTTTTATCTCAATGTTCCAGTTTATACACTGCGCAACTCAGATAATACAATATATGACAACCGTCTATAATAAAACAGCAGTCTTCTGCGTATCCTGAATTTGTATCCCTGGAGTGGATGTTATTTTGGAACTTTCAACTGGTCCGAGTGAGCTAACTGATTCTTTAGCAATAAACTGTGACTCCAAAAATAATATTCACTGACACTGACAGCAGCAAGCAAAATGTCAGGTGCGTTTTAATCATCCGCTTCTGTTTCCGGAATTGTCGGTTCAGTCGTTTAAACCTGTCAGATTAAAACAAGAAAACCGACAATTCCGAAGCAGAAGCGGATGATCAAAACGCACCTATTAAAAATATTGCGCCAAGATGTAGGCAACACGTAATAAGGGTTCAAAATGGCGAAGTTTTCTATCTCCTTTTAAAAGGCACTCAGAAAGCTGCGCAGTGCGACCATTCTCCGTATAGTAAAAGAAAATCAAAGTATGTAAATCTGACTCATGCTCGAGGCGACGGAACGTTCAGGAATGCCGCTGACGCACTAGGAACGGCTAGAACGGGCGGAGAGTGCCGTTGAGTCTGAGATGGAATTTTCGGGATCATCTAGAGTATTCTGGTTACAGAGTTGGCTTGATATAAATATCGCGAGTTTGAAGACGGCAGTCAGTTGATTATAGACAATTTAGTATAGAGCATGGTAATGAAAAGTTAAAGTGTAATAAATAAATTAAAATTGTTAGTTAGTGTCTAAGTATTATATAAATTAAATAGTACGTTATAAATAAATTGTAAATAGTGTGTTTTAAATAAATAAACTATAAATAAATTAGATTATCGTTACAATAATGAATATTTTAATAAAAAAAATTAAAGTATGCATTATTTTTTTGGAAATTGCAAAATCTTCCAGAAAACTCCATTTGCTTTGAAATAATTTTAATATTTGAAAAAGTAACCACATCTTCGAACATTACTAACAAAAATTGGTATGCAATTGTTGACTTCTCATCCTTTTTAAGCTTTTTTAATGAATGCAGTTTTTCCTCCCAATCGTAATATTAAAAAAAAATCCCATATGGATTCAACTTTATGGCACATACTGTACATAAAAAAAGAAATAAATAGAATTTGAAATGGAGGCTTTAATTTTAAATATAGCTTGTAAAATATCTGAAATTATAAACATTTTTTTTCAGGACTACGAGCAGATTGTGACGCTTATCTCGAAGCGTCACTGTTTGTGAGAAAAATTGACAATCCGTTGATGATTACCGATGACAATTTATTTCAATTAATCGCATCATCGAACGAAAACCGATATTTTAAATTTTTCGTTCAAAGTTCAAACGACCAGGCAGTTTTATTCGTTAACAATATAATTTTCCCGGACAATTCAAAATATCTGACTGTTAGAATAGAAGCAAATAAACCTCCGTCTGAAGAAGTACATCACAAACAAGAAATTATATACTCGAACACGACTTCTTCTACTCTATTTTTTTCTACAAATCCGGATGCTTGGCATTATATCGAATTCATATATGACGGAAAAAACGATAATACGACTACTGGAAACTTAACTTTCCAATTGAAATTTATATCGAACGAACTTCCTGAAAATTCTAACCATTATACATTGTTAACAAACGAAACTTACTTCAATAATTCAGTTTCAAAAACATTCCATAATTATAAAATTACAAATTTAGTACCATATAAGCAGTACGATTTGATAAGGGAAGCTACTTCGGAGACGTTTTTCTTTTCTTTCGAATTAGAAAAAGAACTGGAATCAAAAGTGCCTATAGCGATAAATATGACGAATTCTCATTTCTCCCTTTTGAAGTTTAGACTTCGAGAAGGAACCGATGTAGGAGGAACTTTACAATTTATTTTAGCATTTAAACCTAGAATCGATCGATCTCAATATACATTTTATAAGGCTGAACCTTCGGACCACGTCGTTGTGGCTTGCATAAGAAAGGGTGCAATGGAAGTACCGACTTGGCCGAACAATTGTGTCTACAACGATGTGAACAAGCAGTCGCAGCTAATATTAAATAGTACCAATGAAAATTCTACAATACTCATTCCGTACCCAGAAAGTGGAACGTGGTATGCCACTTTCAAGCTATTTTGTGGTACCTGTAAGCCTTGTACATGTTCAAAATCTTGCCAAAAACAATACGAAGATTGCGTGATAGATTGTGAGCTCAATTGCGATGTACCTTGGGATTGTCAATTATGTACTACGAATTGCAGTTCGCAAATTATAAGTTCTGATGATTGTAAGGGATGCGATTGCGATGGACCTTGTTTGAAGAACGACAATGTTACTTGCACCAGTAGCCTTTTATTCGACGTGGGTTCTCATCCGTGCATTTTTGGACAATGTTCTAGGAATGGTAGATGCATGTTTTTGGTGTCTGATGGTGTGGTATTCTCTACATGTGTTTGTATGAATAAGTACAGGGGTAAGTTTTCACATTTTAAACATTATTATTTTAAGTATAATTCCCATTCATTAGGATTTTTTGCGGATCTATGTACTTCTTTTTTTTTAACAAACCATATTTTCCTTAAGAATATTAATGTAGGATAAAAACAGGAGAAAATAGAGCAAACGTTCCAAGCTACTTCAATACTATATAAGGAAACTAAGCTTATTGTAATAGAAGCAATTGCTCTAATCCCTCAAGTCTCTTTTTGCCTTATTTGTATCATCACCTTTCCCATTTGTATATAAATAAGCTGTTTTGTTGCTGAAGCGGACAGTTTAAGTGGAGTTATCGATGTGAGCAGAATAATATTGTTAATATATGAAAAAAGTTTTTATAAGTTCTTATAAATGAGTGAATAAGTAAATGTAATATAAATTAAGAGTATTAAGTATAAATTAGTTATAAAATAAATTAGTACATTTGAAGAGCTAACTTTCAAACGCGAACTAGTCACCTTAAAAGGATTTTTCAGGTAACACAAATAATTGATTCTGATCTAACTAAGAGGAAATGAAAGTTAAAATTTATTTCGTTAATTTAGATGTCATAGATATTATTTTTAACAACTATTGAAAACATTTTATTGTATTTTTTTGTTTAACTTTATTTTTTATTTTGGACAAGTTCGCGTTTGACTGAACGATTTGAACAAGTTCGCGTTTGAATGGAACGTCCCGGGACAAATTCGTTTTTGATCTGAAGCAACAAAAACACAATTTGTTTTATTTGAGTAATGTTCAAGCTTAATTTTTTACATATAGGTACGTAAATTTGGGACAGAATAATATTACTTAGGTAAAAAAAAACAGATATTTTTTCATTTTAAAATTGAAATCAAATTAATTTTCTATGTTGAATTTTTCAATCTTGTCAGGTATGCACCCCACAACAATCATCTTCTAAGCTGTCATATCTTTCATTAACATCATAATCATTATTATTATTATTATTATTATTAACAATAGTCAAATTTTCATCATCAATAATGTCTGTAGAAGTTTAGGTTATCTATTTCTCTCCATTCGCCACTGATTTCATAAAATCCGTATATTTAAAAATTATTCTACAACTCTGCCATCCCCTTCAAAGTAGTCCACGTGGGCAGCTATACAACGATTACAGCGCGTTTTCCACGCTTCGTAACATTTCTGGAACGCTTCGACTGGGATGTCTACGAGTACCCTCGTCACGGTTTTTTGGATGTCCTTAAACCGACTCAACTGGGTTCCTTTGAACATCGCTTTTGCTTTAGGGAACTGAAAAAGTCACAGGGTGACATATCAGGCGAATAAGGCAGCTGTGGAAACACGCCGAGGGCGGTGTGACACGGCGCGTTGTCGTGATGAAGGATCCAATTGTTTGCGATGTCTGGGCGCACCCTGTTGACTCGTTTTTACAATCTTTCGAGTACTTCGCGGTAGTAGACTTGATTTACGGTTTGCCCCGGTGGAACAAATTCTTTATGGACAATTCCACAGCTATCAGAAAAGGTAATGATCATCGTTTTCACCTTCGACTTGCTCATGCGAGCTTTTTTCGCATGGGGGGAGTGCGCAGACAACCATTGTGAGCTTTGGCGTTTGGTTTGCGGGTCGTATTGGAAAAACCAACTCTCATCGCCTGTAATAACTCGATCAAGCAGCGTGGGATCGTTTTCTACTTGCTCTAAACAGTCGTCCGCAACGGTCATTCGATGCCACTTTTGCTCCTCAGAAAGGTTCTTTGGAACCATCTTCGCACACAACTTTTTCATCCCTAAATCATCGGTTAAAATTTGTCTGACTGTTTCACGGTTCATACCCAGTTCCGAGGCCAACATTCGAACTATTAGACGCCGGATTAGGATTAGGGCGCGCACTCGCTGCACATTCGGGCCAGTCCGCACCTCGACTGGTCTCCCGCTCCGCACCTTGTCTTCAACGCTTTCACGCCCCTTCTTAAACTCTTTATGCCATCGAACCACCTGGGCACGACTGAGAGCACTATCACAATACACTTTTACGATTTTAGCGTACATTTCCGAAGCTGTTTCGCTCAATCTGGCGCAAAATTTTATCCCGACGCGTTGCTCTAGATTTTGCTTCTCCATTTTCGTGACAAGCACCACCAACACCCGTCTACTAAACACGACACAGCCGGCGAACTAAACAAACTAGAGAGATGGTAAAACTACTAAGGGAAAGAGAGTTTCAAGGTCGCAGGTTTACCACAAGCGCGGCAATAAAATCGGACTCATTACTTAATTGTCACACCTCGTATATATTTTTTCTTTGCATCCGAAATCATGTGACCCAACTGCTTATCTTCCAATACAAAAGAATCAGATCCCCACTGACGACCCCTCTTCAGAAGTGAAATGTATTTTTCATATTCATGCTCGAATCTGAAATTTTCATTTGCTTTGACTGTAATATTGGTTTTTCCAAACTGTGTGGTGATTCTTTTTAAGTAAATTCTTTTCTTATTGCTTATATTCTCTATGTTCTTTAGATGTGTAGAGATACTTTTGGTGTCTTTCAGTGTCCAATCTGTTCCCAACTGCTTTACGGCTTCAACTTCTTTAAATAGCTCATAATACTCTTCTTTTATAAACATAGTAGTTTTCTTCCGAAGAAGTTTCTCTAACCTTTCAAAAACGTGGTCGGTAGGGAGGAAACTATAGCCTAGAATAGGAAATGTAATGATGATCTCTCTGATAGGACCTTGGTGGAATGAAAGGAAGTACATTAATGCGTGGATAACAATGTTGTTTTTGTTTTGTCCTCCGCATCCATCACAAAAGAGCTTTAATACCTTTTTTCCATTAAAATCACATATTTCCAAGAAGTTCAGGAGCGCTGAAGAAACTTCAGTTGACCCTCTTCCAGCTTGCTCTTCAGTCCAAGTGTAGAAGATTGGGTTTAGAATTTTTACATCTGTAATACATAAGTATGTAATACAATGAATATTTCCGAGTATAAAATGATTCTTGAATAGGAGTTTTGGGTAACTGCTGCATTTGTTGCATGTCAAAGCAGTAGATAATGTCTTCTTCATGTTCTTCTTTCATGAGTTCATAGAGAGCGTGAGATCTTTTTTTATGAATTCTGAGTTGTATTAACAAGTTAACTTTAGCTTCACCAATAGCATTTATGAGGTTTCTAGTCTTTTCACAGTAACTACACGCGTCAGTTGCTGGACTCTTGAATCCAGTATTAAAGTCCTTATTGAAGACACGTCGAAACATTGCAAGAGATACACTCAAATCGTTGGAATGATTTTTTTTAATGAGCCCAAGGAATAACAGTATTCGAAGTTGTAGGTTTAGCATACAATTTCTTTTTTCCTCAAAGAACTTCTACTTTCCTAACTTTGTCGTTTTCTACTACCTATGTTTCCATCTCTTACCAATACTGATACAGCATTCTCAATGTTCTCCATAGTATTAAAAACTGAACATTTCGCTTAAAAAATAGTTTGACTAGCTCGCGTTTGAAAGTTAGCTTATTGTAAATAAGTTAAAATGATAAAATGTTTAATTTTTAATAAAAATAGCTTTTAGTTTTACATTTAGCTAAGAAAAAATAGAAAAGTATTTGTTTTTTATGTACCTAGTAAATAATAAGTAAAGGACGGACAATGTTTAACGGTATTACATAGTTTACTCGTTTTATACAGAGTATCCACAAAAAAGTATTTCAAACGATGAAGAGTCGCTCAACAGGAATTTCTTTAGATACATATTTTTTATTTTCCCTGCATATAATTTCACTTCAATTTTTTAAATTTGTGATCAACTTTTCAAATTTTTATTTTAAAGACATTTTATAATCTACACAAACAAAAACTGGTTTCTTCCTTTTTTGGGAGGGAAATGTTACTATTCCTATTTGTTTATTAAATTTGATTTTATTTAAATTAAAGATAATGATAATATTTTTAGTCTGTCTTGTTATTGTGATGTGTTGTTTGGTTCTTAACTAAAATGTATATTATCAATCTCTTGTGCATATAACATGAATGGTAATTTCATTACATATATTTAGAAATAAATTGCAACTTTCAAATTTGACTAGAATTATTGATATCATTAAAAAATGGAATACTGGTGTAAGATAATATCGATTTTTATTTTTCATAATGATTTTAATAGTATTTCTATTTTTAAATGATTTCACAATATTATTTTTATAGTTCTGCGTACATTATTCTTTATAGTATTTTAGGTGTTTAAAAAGATCTATGATAAATTTAAGGTTAATAGTGTTAAGTTGAAATCAAAAGTCAAATTTTTATCAGTGAAATTGGTTTATTATTTTTTTTTATACAAAAACACTTTTTTTTAAATAAATTCTCTTCTTAATTATATAAAAATTATATAAAAGTCAAAACAGTATTCTTACAGGATTGTGGTTTGTAGATTAAAAAAAAATTTATAAATTAATAATTATCTCGATTTATTCCAACTAAGAAATGATGCTGGCCATATCTAATTAACCGTTTATAGTACAGATTTTTTTTAACAAAAATTCCTTTTTTATAAAAATCACTGGAAATTATTTTCAAACTCCTAACATCGCAGGTTTATAGAGGGCGCATTGCTCATGGTCATTGATAAAAACAGTTTTTTTTTATACCAAATTAAGTTATGCCAAAAATATAAAAATCGTATTCTGTGCGAAATTTTATTTAATTTTTACTATATCCACTCATTTATTGGCATTTATTTGTACAACCGGTACATAATAATATACTGGATCATTTGCACATACGAGCAGCACTACTAAAGTTCGTAGAATCGAGTATTCAACACCGCATCATTGTGTGGAAAAACTTTTTTAATAAACAGTTGATTGACTGTGATAGAAACCAAGTTTTTAGTTACAAATCTTATAAAGGCACGATTTTTTAATTTTAATTTTGTTTTTATTTTATTTCGTTTCCTTTATATTTTGTTTTTTTCTTTATTTATTTATTTTTATGTTTAAATCTTCTTTTTTCTATGTTTTCTTCTATTGTACATATTTTTTTTGGGTTATAATCGCAGTATTGCTTATACACTGTTGTTGGTAATATTTACAATTTTATATTAAATCTTTTGATGTGTAGGTAAATACAAAATAATAGATTAATGTTGTAAAAACTTAATTCGTTAATTTGTCGTCCTAAATTATGTTTTACAAATAACAGTTCGGAGAATTCAAGACCAACGTTTGATGACCATCTTCGGGAAGGTCTTTCATACACATTTTTTGGCGCGAAACATATTGATGCTGTAAATAAATACCTACTTGTGTATTAAGAGCGAAAAGTAATACTTTGCCGCTTGAAACAGAAAGTTTTTACTAAAAATTCACAAGATCTTTTCTACGATCACACTTTTTTAAGAAATAGATATAAAAACTAAAAATTTGTCGTAAGTAGTGTATAACGTGTTGCCTGTACCTATATTAATCATGAAAAAAGCAGTTGATATTCAGAAATTCAAAAATTCAAAGACTCAGATTCAAAGATTCGAAGATTCAAACATTCAAACATTCAAACATTCAAACATTCAAACATTCAAACATTCAAACATTCAAACATTCAAACATTCAAACATTCAAACATTCAAACATTCAAACATTCAAACATTCAAACATTCAAACATTCAAACATTCAAACATTCAAACATTCAAACATTCAAACATTCATTCAAACATTCATTCAAACATTCATTCAAACATTCAAACATTCAAACATTCAAACATTCAAACATTCAAACATTCAAACATTCAAACATTCAAACATTCAAACACTCCTGAAACCCTGAAACATTGAAAAATTCAAACATTATTCAAACATTCAAAGAAAGATTCAAAGATAGTCAATTGACGATTAAAGAAAATTGATTGTTTGAAGATGATTAATTGAAGATAATTTATAAGATTTAAAGTTTTGAAGATGATTTAAAGATACTTTAAAAATGATTTGAAGATTGAGATGGAGATTAAGAAGAAAAGTGTGAGTATACTCGATTTTGGAGCTTTACTTCCATTTGTCTATTGGAGAGAATTTTAAAGGATTCTTCACCCTTCAGAACAGTGGCTAGAACATAGTAAAATATTGAGTATGATATGAGGTTGGTTTTAACAAACATTTAGCCACGAATTTTAAAGTACAATCATCGCATTTAATGTTAATTATTTAATTGAATAATATGTTGGAATTTTATTCTGACAAATTTATTTTTTGCGTTTTCATCGTATTAAAAATGTATAGAGACATACAAATTGTGGCGAGGGTCGCAGGTTACACGACTCAAAAAGGATAAGAATTTCTGTATTATGAGACAGAAAGATATTTAATGCTGACTGATATACTTCAATTTGTTTGCCGGAAATTATCACTGAAAACAATAAACAAACTGAAAAGGCGAATTATTCTTCATCATGAGTTCATACACAACGAATTTTTTAACTGTAAAAACAATCAATTATTGACTTATATTCCGTATTAGTCCGATTTATGACTTCTTATTCTGTTCAGTAATTTTTCGTTGTATACATAAATTAAATTAACATCTTGTATATGAAATTAATACTTTATTTAATTAAAATGTTTACTTCATATACAGTTACTATAAACTGGCTCCAATTTCACATCAAGTTCGATGTGTATACTCGTATTATAATAAAAATATGGACTCATTTTAAAATATTGAGCTTGATTTCGAAATTGTAATAATATTTTTCTAATTATATTTAAATTATTAAATAATTCTAATTTTTATTTTAAATTGTTCTGTTTTATATTATAAATTTAGTGAAAATTAAAAATAAAGAGATTAATGGAAACCATCTTGTAGTATTAATTAAATAATTATCTTTGAAACCTATTCATATTTTGACACATCAAAAATAAAATGCTTGACGGTCGGTTTTCATCGCCTGAAAAGGCCGATGAAAAATGTAAATCACTTGTTTCTGAAACACCTTCCTCAGATGAGTTGAAAAAGTGTTTTGAAGATTGGTTTCATCAGGATGCAAACGTGTATAGAGTTTAAAGGGCAATATTTGAAATTTTCCTCGAATTTTAGTAGTGCTTTCTCGTATTTTGTTTTTATTTTTTTAATCATAGCCTATCATGGGACCCTATCATGCGCATTTTTTTTAACTATTAAACACTTGAAGACCAAGTCGATAATAAAATATTTCACTAATTTATATTTTTCAGGTTGGGACTGTTCCGACAATTCCCAGGCGACTTCTTTCTACATGGTAATTATAGAATTGATGCTGCTTGTCTTTAGTAATCTAGCATTTTTACCCGCCGTTTATGTAGCTTATAAACGAAAATACTACATAGAAGCGCTTGCCTACTTCAGTACTTGTTTCTTCTCCACATTCTACCATGCTTGTGATTCGGGTGAAAACCTCATCAACTTCTGCATGGTGCGTTTGTCCGCATTGCAGTTTGCGGATTTCTTCTGTGCCATCTTAGCCATTTGGGTGACGCTCGTGGCTATAGCCGACCTTCCGACTCTTTGGACGAACATAAGTCACATGGTCGGTGCTATAATTTTAGCGTTTTTCACAACAATCAATAAAACTTCGTTATGGGTATTTATAGTACCCGTTGTAACGGGTATAATCGTAATATTGGGTAGTTGGATAATCAAGTATCGTAAGGTAAAACAACGATTCGCTAATCGAAGATATTTGTATTATAAATTGCCGATTGGCGTGGCTGTTGTAAGCGTCGGTCTAATTTGTTACGCCTTTTTGCAAACCGAAAACAACTATAAATACCTGCATAGCCTTTGGCATTGTTTAATGGCTGTAGCCTTGATTTTAATATTACCAAAACCAAATACATTCCTTCCGGAAGTAGTCTTGTAAGTACGGGTATTCCAAATAATTGTTATTTGGTTAATCGTTATGAAGTGGTTCCAAAACTGTTTTTTTTTTCGCGTCCGACTTTGTAGATAGCTAAAATTGGAATTTACAAAATGATTTAATTTAGATACGTGGGAAAAACCCGTTGTATTACTATAATTTTGATAGTAGTTTGTTGTTATTCAAAGTGTTAATACATTTTTTTAAATTTTTATTTATTCATCTACAGTGTTTTTCAAAAAGTTTTGCATCATTAGGAAAAACTCGTTATGTTACTATAATTTTGATAGTAGTTTGTTGTTATTTAAAGTGTTTATGCTTTTTATTTTATTTTTATATATTGATCTACAGTGTGTCTCAAAAAGTTTGCATCATTGGAAAAAATCCATTATGTTACTATAATTTTGATAGTATTTGACCAAGATCACTTCAAGTGGACCCCCTATGTTCCACTTGACCATAAAAATTAAGTCCATGTACTGTTTTTATAAGTAGTTACCTTGAAAAATGAATCCCTCAAACAATTTTTAAAAATTTTGAATTTAACAATAATATTTTTAATAATTAAAATTTTGAGTACTTTTAATTAAAAAAATGGATTTTAAATCAACCGTTAAAGATAAATTAATAAACTTTTTAGGATTTATTGTCAAATATCTATGTTTTGATAAAATATTAATATCTTAAAATTATTTGTTTATTATCGCATTGTTAATTATCTTTTAAATAAACAAATGAAAATTTCATTGATTTCTCGGTAAATGTATAAAGGTTTTTTTCGCTTACATGAAACAACCGAGATATTGGACTTCCACACACTAATGGACCACTATGTATATTAAAAACATGAATGTATGTATTTGGGTGTCTCTTATATGGAAATCAAATTAGATTAGGTACTTATTTATTAAAAAAAGATAAAATTACAGATCAGGCAGGATCTCTTTTTTACAGTCTGGATACAGATTTCTATGATCTTGGTACACAGCGTAGCAAAAATTGCTTTTGTTCTTTCTTTGCAGTGATTAAACCATGAAAATCTTGCATAAGTTTTACAGCCCTTTCAGCTGTATCATTAACTGCCCTTAAGGAAATAACTTTTTCTTTTGCCTCTAAATAGGCAACATCTTCGTTCCACGTAGAAACGGATCTCTGGAGGAAGTTCTTATCAATTTTTAATCGACAAAATAAGCTTTTACTCTTGACAGACACAAATTCATCACGTAATGATTTTCCTGCAACAATAAATAAGGCAGTATTATTATCAGTTTAGTGAAAACAATATAAAAAATTAATGTATTTCTACCTACCATACAAATAATCAGACATATCGTCTTTTGATGGAATGTATCTCTTCCCAGAATCATACAAACTCTCTCTTTGTAAGTTCAGTACAATATTTCCCTTGGTTTGTTTATCAACTTCATCATCAAAGAGTGATAGAACGGCAATTTTTTCCGACAAGTACCAAAGATGTTGACTAAACTTGCTCAGGGCGCTTTGGAAATCAACTAGTCAACAGTTTCATATTCCTTAAGCAAATCTTGATTTGATGCCTTCACCTTGCATTGAAGCCATGGTTTCACGCCTTGAAGTGCTCGTTTATCCTTGGCGCTAATTTTAAACCGATATTGCAAGAAACATATTTTTAAAGAATAAATAGCTCTAGCCATTCACCTAGCTTGGTGCATCGCTCCAGGAGGTCTGATTTTAATTTTTTTTATTATCTCCTCTTAAGAAAAGAATTGATAATTCAATCAGTTCCCGATAATCGTCACGTACAATGTTTTTTGAAATTCTTGATTATAAAACGTTAATAATTCTTGTATTGTATAACAAAAATATTGTGTGACGATATCGGTGTAGGTTTCAATAGCAACAGGATTGATTAATAGTTTTCCAGTTGTCTCTAAACTTTTGAACAGTGTACATTGAACATTTTAAAATTAGTTCATAAACATGATGGCAATCGCCCTGTATTAGACGCAGTTGTGTCACACATATGAAGACTAGACACAGCACAATATTTGTACTTTGCCATCGTGGTTCCAGTCATAAAGTGCTTTTCACACATCTTTATTTTTATTTATTTTATTTATTTAGTACACCACTCAACAGTTAAAAAGAGTGGGATGAACATAAATTAAAAGCAAATACAATATACTAATGATATACATCACAAACGAGTTAAGAACATCAAATATGACTGAACATGAAACAAATAAGAAGTACAACGAACTCTATTTTTAAGAAAAACTGAAGGTAAAATATTCAGTAATATTTAAGTTTTTAAAGGAGCATAAAACATTTTAAAAAATTGAAAAATTAAATTAAAATAAAATAAATACACACAAAATATATATTATCAACTTACCAAGCAGGATAAACACCTACTCAGTTTCTATGGTAATAGCTCTAAAAATATCTATTTTCTTACAACTAAAAATATCCAAAGTGTATTGAAGGCGATGATAATTATTGATCATTTGAAAAATTGGAGAACCGTTCAAAATATTTGTATTTGCAGCCGGCAAGTAAAAGCTTAAGTATATTCTAGTATATTTAGCTTGATCTTGACCGGAATAGCTCTCCAGTTTGGACACAGCCAGAAGTTGTTCCTTTTCTCCAAATGAAATTAGAATTTGCAGGCGTTCTTCTTTAGAACTTCTAACGTCCAGTACAGGTAATAATTTCCAATCCCAGTGAACGATCACCACTTCAGACATATTATTCTTAAAATCTGATTTTTTAGATTCCGCTCTATCTTATGTACTCTGTGTGCTAATGCGTTGAATGGACGATTTGTTTATCGGGTAATCATCACAGCGAAGATCTAGTGCTTCTACTACAGCCTGAAGTATATAAACAGAATCCCTTATGCTTAATTGACATCTATCTAAAGCTGCAACTAACTTAGGCGTTCCAGAACTTACCGTTTGAGAGGTGGATGACAAGGGTACCTCAAGGCTTTCATCAGAGCTGGTAGATTGATCGTGAGGTCCTTGCGTTTGTATACAATCTTGTGTTGTAAGAGATGACGGTAAACTCCCGAAACACATTTGCTCATGTCTTTTTTCTCTACTTGTAATTTTCTCTGTATTACCCTTTCTTCTTTGTCGGCTAACTTTTTGTCTACACCCGCTAAACACCCTGGAAGTCCTTTTTGTTTTTGTAAAAATAATTTATCTTCTTCGATTTTCATCCGTTCCAAAGCATCAGTGTGTTCTATATCGAATAAATTATCTAAATTGTTTTGAAAGTCCACCTCACGGCGCTCGGATTTTTTTTGCAACTCCCTCCAAGCACGGTAAAGATACACAAGTTTTTTTTTACATAGTTAGCTTTGGTAGGGATTCTAACCTTTTCCCAAAAAATAATACACTCTCGAATGACGAGATTTGCGCTTTCACTAACAGTCAGTTTAATTTCGCGAATGTTAAAAAAAAGTACCTCAAGAACTTAACGGTTTGACGGTAACTTTGCGCCTGTTATTTGATAATTTACTCACCAACTAAGAAAATACTTTTTATTAATGCTTCTTAATTCCACTGCCATCTTCTAAATGCAAAACAATACGTCTTAATCACGAGAATAACCGAACAAATAACAAATACCGCGAATATATGCCGCTACTTTCGCGTAACTTGTATGAAGATGATTCTGTGCAAGTCGGCACGGGTCATCTTACTCCAAAATAGGTAAAAATGTATTTCCGAGTGTTTTAAGAGCAAATGAAGAAAAGCAAGACCAATGCTTTAGAAAATAAAAACTTTGAACAATAAGGGACACCCTAGTATGTATAGCAACTATGCGTAAAGAAGAGTCTGAAGTGTATTAGTGAAAGGAAATGTTTCTCTTTAGTTGTAATTGAAATAAATACGCAAAGTCGAAGCTTACATTAACTTGAGACTAATTATTGGCCTATAAAAACATATTTAGAAGAAACCCTTAAAGCAGGGATGCACGACGCCAGTGTCGTTTTGGCGGTCCGCTGGCCGTTGACCAGTTTGGCCCGCTTACGACAAATTATACATTTTTTAGTAACAAACTTGTGTTTAGACTGACGACCTTTTTTTAGAAATCTGAACCGACTATTGTAGGCTCAGGTCTCTCTTGGCGATCCTCGTACAGTTACGGATTTTCAAATCTGGCCCTTTGAAAATCTGAGTTGTGCAGGCCTGCCTTAAAGCATTAATTTATAATAGATCTCTGTATGGAAAGTACACTGGGAGGAGTTGGTATTTACAACATCTACTTAACACTTTAACCCAGCAGTTTTTAAAGGCTGTGTTAAAAAAGAGCGCTTACAAAAATGGCGGTGGATAAAATAACGCGGCCCTTATAGCGTTTGGACAAAAGGGCGTGTCATAAAACAGCGCGTGGACAAAAAGTGCGTTATAAAATAGCATTTACCTTTAATAACGCGTCATAAAATTATGTTTGTCCTTAAAAGCGCGTCATAAAATAGTATTTGCCCTTAAAATCGTGTTATTAATAAGCGTTTGGCTTAAAGAGCCCATGACCTAATAGTGCGTGGTCAGCAATAATAACGCGCTAAACACGCTTAGGTATGTATTCAGAACGTTGATAAAGTGTATGGAATACTGTCGATAACTTTCATTATACAAGGCGTTCCATAAGGAATGGTAAATATTTTAACCGTAGGTTCAGGAACTCAAAATATCAATATTTTGTTAAATGACACTGGGTCAATGTTATCTACTTCTGAGATACAGGGTGTTTTTTTTTTGCAATATTTTCGTTTTAATTTAACGTAATGGCTTGAAATTTGGTACGATTGTATTTTTGGGCTAGTTAGTCATAAGCATGTTATCAATTTGTGACTAGTTTAAGAGGGCGCCACCTGCTCTCTACAGGATGAAGAAAACTTTTTTTATTCTTGACATTTTTACATTTTTTTCGAGTCTTTAGGGTATCTGTTTACAATATTTTAACGTACTGAAACAAGTAGGTATACATTTTTTGTTCAAATTTACAGGGTGTATCATAAATCTTAGACCATAGGGCCTGAGCTAAGCCACCGAATTTTGCTCCTGAAACATTGAAGTTTTATCTATCGAATCACGACCGAACATTTTAAATGTTTTTTCGGGAAAATGCTTTTTACCCAATTTTCCGACTAGTACAACTTTTTTGTCGACATTTGTTTTTCGAATTTTCAAACTTTTCAACAAATTTTCCAGTAGAATTAAAAATTCGCGTATACTTCTCGACATTCTTCACAATCTGGCATTTAAATTTTTACTAATATCTTAAACACATTTCCCAGGAAAATTAGGGTAAATTTTGGGTCGAACGCTTGACCTGGAAAAACTTTGCCTAAAAAGGAGGTAGAATAAAAAGACTTCAAGAATAAATATTTTGCTTGTGAGATTGACGAAATAAAAAACCGTGTATATTTGTTGGCTTTTTCAAGTGATTATGTCGGAAAATTTTTGAATTTTTCTTCGGAAAAGTGATTTTCCACCAATTTTCTAAGTTAACTTAATTTTTTTTTGGTAAATTTTCTTACAATGGATGAAATTCGAAAATATAATGTTTGTTTTGAGTATTTTCCGGAAAAACTATAAATTTGCGTACAATACTCGACATTGCTCATTTAAATTTTTGTTAGATCTTATACACATTTTCCAGGAAAATTAGGGAAATATTTGGGTGGGACTTTGATTATAAAAGAGGAGATAGAGATAGAATACAATAAGAATAATTATTGCGAAATTTTTTAGTAATTTAAGACAAATTTAAAATAAATGTGTTCTTCTTTTATCGGATATTGTTGGAAAATTTGAAATTATCCTACGGTAAAATTGATTAGTGGTCCCATGACATGAGACATGACTCACTAAAAAATTGCATAAAAAATGAGATAGAGCAAAAAGACCTTAATAATTGATGTATCACATGACAGGGGAAGGGAAATCAAAAATCGTTATACTTTTGGATTTTTATCAAAAAATTATGAACAATTAAAAAAAAGCGTGCTTTAAAATGTCTCTATCGAATGACATTTAATTACTTTATTTTACACTGAGACATTTACACATTTTAGTTACACGCAGAAAAATTTTTTTCTTGTATATGTTCGTTTGTGACATGGAAGAAAGAAAACTTTTTTCAACACATGTATTTTAATGGCGTTGTTTAGAGACACGCTTTATCTTCTTGCAGCTATTAAGAAATACGTTGTTTCCTAGCGCTAATAAGGTAAGCGCTCATATATCCTAGCGCTATTATAATAGGACGCGTTCTCTTGTTACAAAAAATTTTGCCCGGCACCATTTTTTAAAAGCCCTCTTTTTTTAACAGTCGTTTTTATGACGTTTAAGCTCTATAAAGACGAGCATAATCATGCAGAAGGTTAAAATAATTTGTGAGGTTCTTAAAAATTGCCATTTTTTACGATATTCCTTTTCGAAAAACTACTAAAAAATATAAATTCGAGATTATAGTAATGAATAATTTTTTTTTATTCTATTTAAACTAGCTAAATACAAAGTCGGAAATGCACAAATACGTACTCCTTTTAAAAGTTTACTTCATATGGAATCACTAGTTAGCGTACAATCATTTATTGTAAAGTTGATTTATACAATTATTATACAAAGTCTTACTTTATTTCATATCCTATTATTTTATGAAAAGCAGTTCTCGTATGAGTTTGTTCTTCAAATTCTGACGCACCCTATATTTATTTATTTATATATTTTTTGCTCTGTAAAAGACATTAATATGCTCGTTCAATGATTTTATCTATATGACTTTCTTCAGAAGTTTTACCAGTCTTAATATTAATCGGTTTCTAAAAGGTCTGATCTGTTTTTTTTAAATATTGTTTTGTTTTATTCATTAATCTAGAAATATCTTTTTTATTTTAAGATCAGATACATTTCAAAACCACCGTTGGTATAACTTCTTTGTGATAGTAGATTTCTTAGAATAGTTTCCATTAAGTACCTATACACCCACAGATCTTATATGTTACATTTATTTGACTGTTATTAATTTTTATTTCTTTATTACTTCTTTGCCAGTTTTTAACAGAAGTAAAAGAATGAACTACTTACCTCAGGTAAGATTAATTTAAATAAAATGTTATTTATATTTTACCAGCTTTAAATAATTACCATATTTTCCAATTCCGGAATATCCAAGCCACGTGTTTATTTTATATTAACATTTCAGATCCATTATATAGAATCATATCTGACTAGTAACTAATAATTTAATTTTTTCTACTTTTATGTACCCACTCCTTTTCTCTACACACGTTTTTACTTCATCCATTGATCCGCATTTTGTAAAATTTAAATATTTATTTTCATTTATCTCGCATTGTCAGTGTTGCCATAAGCCTCTGCGAAAACTCACGAAATTTTTCGCTCAAGACAAAAATAGCGTTTGTTTGTAAAGGGAAAAGTTCATCGCTGTCACCGCCGGTCCGTGTTCAGTAATTCAAGTCCAGTGTTAGTTAAAGACACTTAAATTGCTGAAATGTCCTAAGGAATTCGAAGTAGGTATTCGAAAAATTTATATTGTCAATTTCCCCGGAAAGTGGAAAATTCTCCGCGCATTGGCAACACTGCACATCGCTCCTAAATACTCGTTCCCACGAGTCGATTTTGGTTGAACGATTTTTATTTATCGACTATGTAAACGTACTTTTAAATTTTTGTTGAACGACAAAATCGTTTCAACAAGAGTTCAACCTATTCAACGATTTTTATTTATGCCTTAATCGACATTTGAAATAGTGTTTTTTGTTACTCGATACATATAATATGTCGTCTCAAAATCCATTTCCGAAATACTACGTTCTGCTCGTTTTCTCTTAAATTTTGATAAAATATTTCTCAATTCTGTCTATTAATTCACAAAATATCCAGATAGCTCCACGAATAACCTCGTTAGTCACCATTTTGCTTTCAACTATCTGTTCAACATTCGTTAAAACACGTGAACAAAAACTTGATTAAATTTTAGTTGATCAATAAATTTCGTTCGACTAAAATCGACTCGTGAGAACGCGCCTTAATTGTATTCCCGCCTCAATTCCTAACCTTACTATTATAATTATACTAATTTCCATAATATTTCAAGTACTTTATATGTATGGCTCTGCGGTTATTGTAAAAATATTTTTTTTTCTTTTATATTAACGACGAGTATTCTTGTACATGCAGTGGATTTTCTCAATGTATCTAAGTCTTCAATCTTTGGACAAACATTAGGTCTATTCCCTTGCATCGAAAATGTAGCACTAAGTTACACAACTTCTAAAAATATCGTTCCTTCCATACAATTTGTATAAATGGAACGATATTTTCAGACTCAGTACTACACCATTCAATGCAAGGGGATATACCTATTATGTACTCGATCATTTCTAAAGTTGTCAATCTTCTTTTACAGTCGTTTCAACTTAAACAAAATGCATCAGCTACTCGTTAAACTGTGACTTTGGAAGGGACATTGTCGCCAAATGTTTGTTGCATATCAGTCAAAATTTTGAAGGAATAGCATTGCCATTTTTAAATTATTTTTTTTTAATCTATTATTATTATTATTAAATCTTTCGTTGGCTTCAAAGACTTTTGTTGAGAACTGTCGAGTGTTATTCTCAGAAGAGTGGCACTATTTGCGTTACCATGTTTCAGGTTAGTACTAAATATTAACGATTCGGTTTTTTCTTTATTAAGATTTAATTTGCTTGTAGTAAACCATTCCCCAGCCTTAGCGACTGTCATTTTACTGACATTTTCAAGAGTGTCGATATCTCTGTTAGAAATAGGTTTGATTTCTATGAATTTCTATAAATTTCTCAGAATTTTTATAAATTTCTATAAATTTTTATAAATTTCTATAAATTTCTATGAATTTCTATGAATTTCTATGAATTTCTATGAATTTCTATGAATTTCTATGAATTTCTATGAATTTCTATGAATTTCTATGAATTTCTATGAATTTCTATGAATTTCTATGAATTTCTATGAATTTCTATGAATTTCTATGAATTTCTATGAATTTCTATGAATTTCTATGAATTTCTATGAATTTCTATGAATTTCTATGAATTTCTATGAATTTCTATGAATTTCTATGAATTTCTATGAATTTCTATGAATTTCTATGAATTTCTATGAATTTCTATGAATTTCTATGAATTTCTATGAATTTCTATGAATTTCTATGAATTTCTATGAATTTCTATGAATTTCTATGAATTTCTATGAATTTCTATGAATTTCTATGAATTTCTATGAATTTCTATGAATTTCTATGAATTTCTATGAATTTCTATGAATTTCTATGAATTTCTATGAATTTCTATGAATTTCTATGAATTTCTATGAATTTCTATGAATTTCTATGAATTTCTATGAATTTCTATGAATTTCTATGAATTTCTATGAATTTCTATGAATTTCTATGAATTTCTATGAATTTCTATGAATTTCTATGAATTTCTATGAATTTCTATGAATTTCTATGAATGTCTATGAATTTCTATGAATTTCTATGAATTTCTATGAATATCTATGAATTTCTATGAAATTCTATGAATTTCTATGAATTTCTGTGAATTTTCATGAATTTTCATTAATTTCCATGAATTTCTACGAATTTCTATGTATTTCTAAGAATTTCTATGTATTTCTAAGAATTTCTAGGAATTTTTGTAAATTTTTTTAAATTTTTGTGAATTTATATGAATTTCTACGGAACTTGTACAAAATTTCTATGATTTTCTACGAATTTCTATCCTTTTTTTTATCCTGGTCCTATTTTATTTGCTCCAATGTCCTTTTGAAATGTAGGCAATGTATACAAGCATTCAATTTTGAAATCTTTACTATTTGAAATTCTACCATTTGGTTACTTATTACCTTGTGCTACTTGCATATTAATATATTTATCAGTGTACCGAACAGATTGGTCGAAAATGGTTCAAAATACAATATCAAAGCATTAGGAAACTAAACCAAAAATTTAAAAACATCAACGCAGGAAAAGATATTGTACGACTATGATTGCTAAACGAATAATAATAACACCGACACCGGTCACCCAAGCTGATCATACGTCAAATCAGTATTTTACCTCAAGGGGCGGGGCATAAGCGTTGTGGAGTTGAATAGTGGGTAATCTGTGCTAATCTTAACTAGCATTCTATCAAAAAATGATCATCGTAGTCTTTCGTTAGAGTTAGACACAGGGAATTTAACAAAAATTCTTTTGGATTAACATGTAGTATTTACTGGATTACAATATTGATCTTTGGCACAGGGTTTAGTCGTGAACCATGAGAAAATTCACTTCATCTACAAAATTGACTTTCTTATTCAAATCAGTTTACTAATTTTTTAAATGTATGTATTTATTTTACTTCTTTTTTACTGACATTCAGACATTCTTATTTCTACACTTAGTGTATACACCTATTAGTGTTGCCTCAAAAGTTTTTTGAACAGAATTTATTATATTTGTAAGTCTAAAAGTTAGACTGATTATTATTAAGTTGTTTGCGTTATTTTAAAAATCTGACAGATTTTTTTCTTAGCAAAAGAATAATAAATTTTCATAATTGTCCTACATTTTTGTTATGGATATATGCTTTTTAAAACTTTAGTAATTTTTGCTGTATCACATGACAAAAACATATTCTAAATAGAAAATGCAGGATAATCATGTTGAATAGTATCAAACTAACGATATTAATTAATATAATATAAGTTTTATGGTTATAAAACCCATAATTTCAATTCATTTCAGTGGCATTCTAATTTTTTTTACAACCTATTGTTGACCAATCTACCTTTAATTTTTTTTTATATTATATATTAAGAGTTATATAAAGTTCTAGGATCGTTACAGTACTATTTGTTATAAACATTATATTGTTTAAAACAATTATGGTAAGTCCTTAAATTTTTTATTTGTTTTTATTAATAATATTAATAAACATTTCCAAAGAGTTCTTTTTGAAAGCATTCCTCCGATGTCAGATATTGTTAAATTGAATCACCAAATATGATATCTTTTTTAGAGAGTCAATTAGATAATGTAATTTACGACCTTTTGAAGTATAATAATTATTATTGGTTCTTAATTTGCAATACAGATTGCAAATAAAATAAAGCACACGTACTTGGTTGCTTTCAAAAAAGCATTCAATTGATTATTTAAATAAAGATTGTTAAAGTGGCTATTATTTTGTTCACTTTCAATGTTCTACGTTTACATCACTTTTTTCACATTTCTTATAACATCTTCGAGACATTTCCTAGCTGTGATAGTTAAAACAATTGTTACATGTATTTACATGACTTGTATAAAGTAGTAAGTTCTTGAAAAACTATAAATATATTTATAAATAATAAAAATATAATGTATTCAGTAAGATATTATGAATAAATATGACAAAAATCAGTGAAAGTTGTTACAACAGTACATACGAGTAGTTCAAAATTAATCGACTTTGTAGAATATTTTTGAAAATAAAAGCTGATTATTTTGTCTAAATTACGCATAATATCGCCCGATTCATTTCAAGTGTTGTAAGGATATTGTTTGGTTGCTCTAAAAGAGGCATTTTAAATAGAAATACTTTTTTATCGGTTTGTCATATTAAGATCGGTTTATGATAGAAATTATTGACCGCTGTTTAATACCTGAGTCAGTTAATTTATCGTGTACAGATTGGCGCATCGAAAACGAAACAGATACATTTACTGTCAGCTCGGTTCTTTTTTGGAAAAACGCTCAGACCCGTCGATTTTGTTTTCGAGGCGGACACAAAATTAGTAAATCACGTTAACCCGTGCATCCCCCTAGGCGGGGGTGGCACCATCCCTAAAATCTTAAATAAAAAGGGGGGTCGAATGATTCATCATTTGAAAGGTCTTTCAATTCCCTTTATAATGATGTAAAATTCATGTACTTCAGTTCAGTAGTTTTTGGAGATATATTGATTTAAAGCTTAAAGTAGACGTTAATAGATACATCGGATTATTTTGTACTACTTTCAGAAGAAATTTGAGTAAAAGCATTTACTTAATAAGTCATAGTAAAAAAAGTAAGGCCCTAGTTTATTTTTTTTTTATTGCAAAATATTGGCAGATGGCCACTACCCCACACAGAGGGGCAAAGTGGTCACCCATATTTTGGGACAAAGTGACCATGATAAAAGTATTCTAAACAATTTCACGTCTGATAAAACAGTACTTTAGCATTTATTACGCATATAATTCAGCTTAAGAATTTAGTTCACATGTAAACACATCGTCTTCATTGCATCCATCACATTCTTCATGTGTCCATCTTTTGCACACTGAACAGCATATTCAGCCCTCCCCTTTTTTGGATTTTGAGAAAAGGCTTGAGCAGTAGAGACACTCAACATCTTCCTGCGCGTCATCGTCACTGCTGCTTGTGTCATCTTTAACAGGAATTTTTGATTTTCTCGGAGCCTTTCTTTTAGTCTTCTTACTACCAAAAAGTTGCCTTTTAACTGCTTCTGGTTTTTTAGATTCCTTTGCTATTTAAAGCTCATTTTTATAAGGACTGTCTGTGATTATTGCGGTATAACCTCTTTTCCTATTATTTCTCTGCGTTTCCGTTTTATATTTTGTAATCGGAACGATGTCTTATAGACTGACGAGTAACCCCGAGCAGCTTGGTCCACTATTTTGGATATCATTCATGTTTTGATCAACAGGTCGTTTGTTAGTTTGCGAGGTTGAAGGAATTGGATATCTGCTACACCATTTGCTTGGTTGCCTTCATCATTTGAGTTTTCGTTCTTCGGATGATCTTCTCTGACTTTAATATCTTTATCAGTAACTTCAGCTGCCGCAAAATCTGCATAACTGAACACATGTGGAATATACGGAACAATCCCACAATGTCCGAATCCGTGCATAACTGTTGTAGTCACTGCTGCTCGAAGAAACACCAAACAATTTGCTAACTTTAAAATTTTGATACGGTTCTTCCTGGGTTATTCTTAAGATATTTTTCGATCTCTTGAATATAAAACGTATGGCCCGTCTTCCATAAATGCTACATCAAGTGGCTGTAATTTGTGACTACAGTGGGGCGGCAGATACAGCGCAGTCACGAAATTATCACGCGCCATATTGATAAAATCCAAGTTTTTTGTATGTGTAACATGCCTATCTAGTATTAACAAGCAAGAGTCTTCGGCTGTAGGCTTCGCATGCTTAAGAAAATGCTCAAACCACGTACTGAAAATTTCCAGCTGCATCCATCCTGCTTTATGACAGGCGAATTCAGTACCAGGTGGAGCTCCGTCCATTAACTCTTCTTTCAATCTTACTCTAGAAAAAATTATCATTGGGGAAATGAATGAGCCACCAGCAGACATGCAAACGACAACTGCTGATAAAACTTCTCTTTTTGCCTTTTAATGCAAAAATTTCTGCTCGATTTAGACTCATCTCATCTACATTAAAAACCCGCATAGGTTTCTATGGGAATCGACTAATGCATTCATCTAAAAGTGCAAAATACATATCAACACTAGGCTTATCGAATGCTCTAGCTCGGGCCGCACTAGTAGCTTCAGGAGTGCGAAGGCTAATTTCCGGATGTCTTTCACGAAACTCCTTTAACCAGTCTTCCCCCAGCAAGTTGCGTTTCTCTGTTGAAAGTATGCCTTAAGCTGTTTTTCTCAGCTAACTGATATGCAAGTGGTCTAAGGTCTTTTTTAGTGAGACCATAAAATCGCGTTTCCAGTTCCTGGATATGTTGAACTATTTCTACTTCTTGATCTAAAGTAAAAGTTGGACGAATAGCGCCTAAGACTTTAATATTCCCTTTAGCATCTCTATTCTTATCTAGAACTCTTCTTCCAGGCATATGTTGTTCTTTTACGGCTTTGATTGCTTGTGCCATAGCCTCAGGATCCCATGAACCCTGGTGTGAAGTTTTCATATAC